CTCAACAAATAGCCACATCCTCATAATGGAACGGCGTATCAAACTCATTAGACGTCGTTATTGAATCGACACGATTACGTTCCGCAGAAAGATCCGATCTTCCCGTTAAAAATGAACGATTGCTTCGGGTCCACACGCTCGATCCCCTCGTTAGACACACGTTTACACGTGCGTGTATGCACTCCGGGCGGAAAGTTTGGAAGCGGTACGAGGTCTGAAAGTGTAGCAGGTCGAAAAAATAAGCAAAGTGGTCGTATAACAGTTCGATCTGCGTAGTGTGCTGAGTTAAAGTAACGAAGTGTAGCGTGATAAGCTCAATTTCAGTCTATCATACGTTTATTAGGTGCTATTAGTAATAAATACACGAGGGACGAAAAATGTAGTCGCTTATCGAGACGAGTTGAATAAAACGAGTGGAAAAGAAAGCGTCCGTAAATTATGAAATTATCAAACTACACGTTTTCAATGCAAAACGTTCAATCGTAGAATAATCGAATAAACGAATACCGTGTAAAATTGAACTATCAGTTATCAGAACGGCTGTATTATCCTTCGCCGTTTTCATTTCTGTTACAATAAAGTAACGTTCGAATCTGAAAAAAAAAACAACGCTTTTTGTCCATATAGCGTAAATGTGCGTCGTGTGTATACACGTACACGAAGGAATCAGCGTAGTGCAGCGTGCAGCGAGAGATTTAGGCGTGCGAGAGTGCGGGAACACAGTCGCGTTATAGCAATGATTCATGCCAGGTATGTTAAACTGGTTCCGAGGCGGGCCGCGCGCTGCTGCAGCCGCTTGAAAAGAAAGAAGGGAAAAAAACGAACCGTGGCCCGATCTACGAGACACAATGCAACGTTAGAGAGAAAACGGGCTGGCTTCGTTGGAGAGTATGTAGATCCGCAACCCTGGGCTACGGCTGGCTGGGCGGCGAAGGGGTGCGGAGTGGCGTGTGCGTCTGGGAAAGCAGGAAGTAGACAGATTTTATGTAAGAGAGGAAAATCATAATTCACGGTTATCGAGAGCCACCTATCTGGCGCAAATAATCGAAAATGCCACCGAAGGAACACGAGATCCGCGTTACTACCTCCTCCTTATCTCGCATCTTAACCCTCTATGGGCCCCCGTGTAACTTTCAGGTCACATACTAATATATCGATATTTTATTAAATAATTGAACTTTTTTGCACAAGATGGCGTAAACCAGTAACTTTCTTGATAACCGTTGTTACTTCAAAGTCACAATATGTATTCGTAAACGCCTTGTTGCACAATGTCTCCTTATTAACCAGTAACTTTCTTGATAACCGTTGTTACTTCAAAGTCACAATATGTATTCGTTATAATAAAATTGTTGAAACTGCTGAATTCATTGTTATTCTGTATTTATGGGACGATATTTCTTAATTTTACGTTACATACATTTTTTTATAGTGGAGAAAAAAATTCGGCCCATAGAGGGTTAAGTTTCATGCTTCTTTGATACCAGTTGTACACCACTGTCTAGAATAAATTTCCAGAGAAAACGATCTTTTTCCTACATTTTCATTTATCGACGTGTAACCTTGCCTCTCCTGATCGTCGGTTCTGCATAAGCGTTACGCCAATTCAGGAAAAATTCGCCGTCTAATTTAATCCTCGGTTTACAAAAATGATGAAACTCCTGTGGTATAATGAAAATCGTTTTACAAAAAGAGGAAATACACACACGATAATCATTAGCGCGCGCGCATCACACGCAGAGAGAAGAAGCATCGTGCAGCAGTCGCGCGCGCGTTTCGGTCGCACGACAACGTCAGCGGTTCTCAACGTTGCGAATTGTCCGAGCGCATAGGAAAGAGGATGCGAGAAAGCCCGAGCGAGAACGGAAGGGACGATAAGCACGTACGGAAATCCGTAGCGGGCACTGAATTTAAAACATGAACAGTCTTGACACCGTTCTAAGTGTCCGCCGTGTCTAATGTTATTGGACGGTCGATATTTCGCTGGGGCCACGTGATGACCGGCGAGCAAGCACCATACGGCTTCCTTTTGAACACGCCATTCGTTTTCCGTTCTATCGTGAAATGCTTTAGGCATCGGGAACGTACGCGCGATGTTCCCCGGTTACGTTTATATTCCGATATAATAAAACGTTATCGTGCAGGTATCGAAGAGGAGAAGGAGGGAGCGACGTTCCTGCTCTCGTGAGCCATGGAAAACGATGTCGGTGTAATAAAGCACGCGAGACATTGAACTCGAGTGAAAAACAAAGACTAAGCGTGGCTCGTCCGACTTATCGATTTCTACGACCGTTGATATCGTACGATAGTAATACGTAGAATTATAGCCTGTAAGAATATTAAGGATAAGCAGATTAAACTGACGAGAGAATTGTGTGTGCGTGTGTGTGTTGGTTCTTTTTATACAAGAGGTAAGGTATTTGACGCATATACGCATAGAGTACTGCTGGTTCGTTTGGCCGGTGGCCAATTTTGAATTTGCAAAACTGTATCAAGCTAGGTTAATTGCGCGCGCATTTCTACGTGACGACAGATGCGGCGGCGGTGACCGAGAACGAGGTGTAGATGATCGATCGACGGCACGTGCTATCGATAGATGCGTTTCTTCCGCGTATATTTACATGTGTATCGTGTATTTCATCCAACTTTCAACCACGACCGGAATATCGAACAGCAATATGGAAAATGGTAGGAAGAAAAGTCAAATCACGATGTACCAACCATCCCCCTTTTTCTCTCTCTCTCTCTCTCTTTCTCCTTTCAACGACGCATTAAATTGTAACATGTTCAGTCAAGGGAAAAAAAGAAAAAAAATGCAAATACGGGTGGTATATAATACGAACGAGAGTGTACTCTCGACCGACAGAGAGAGAGGAGTCGGTTTTTAATCTTCGAGATTAATCGGTAAAAGCATGAATCTCACGAGCGTAGATAAAGGATAAGCCGGCCGGAGGCGCGGTATTGATGACTGCGATCGGAGTTACGCGATTATTTATCACGCGCGCGATCTCTGACAGACGTTAAGATTTAAATGGCAAGCCACGTGGCGCCGCGCTGTGGCCGCCGTGGTTTTCTCAATTTCGAAACGCGTCATGGAACTGCCTGTATCGTGTGTCCCGATAGGTACGTAAGTATGTACGGCGGCACGGATCGGTCAATAAAAGCGACTGTTTTGCTATTCAATGGAAAAGATTATCTTTTCACGGTGCACGCTCGGAGAAAGAGCACAAACGCGTTCGTTAAGCATGACGGTTTTCTACGTTCAGACACGCGGATCCTCTTATTCTCGCGATGCTCAATGAAACGAGGATTATAGGAGAGAGCGAATGAGAGAGAGAGAGAAAAAAAGGAAGAAAGAATGAAAATTGTCATTTTCACCCGTGGCCAAATGAAACGGCCACCGAAACGAAAGACGACGAGTTATTGAACACGACTTTAGCAGTGGATATTGCGGTATAAAAAAAAAAAGGTCGGAAGTAGGTGTGTAGCGTCCGAGTCACGTACGTGTCTGTTATTTTTATTTGTATCCGACTGACTGTGCTTTGACATTTGGAAGGAAGGAAGGTGCTCGTAAAACTTCCACCCTAACGTTTTGTTTGAAATTCCCCGAGTTTAACGGTCGTCGACATTTCGTGCCCTCTGGCGAACGGCCGGCTTACAGCCACCGTAAACATTGCTTAATCGCGACGTTACGAGATAGCAACAATTACCATTTAACATTTGGTAAACCTTCTGTAACACTACCGTTACATACAAGTAAAATAACGAATAAATCGTTATTTACGCACGTTGAAAATATCAATGTCGATTAACATTTTCTGCTTTTTTTTTCCTTTCTTTCGTTAAAAGTTCAAAATTCTAGGATACTTTTATATCCGCCATGATGAATTCCAGTAAACGCGCGCCATGCGAATTTCTAGATGCAGCCGGCAGCCTCGTGTTCCGAGACACACACAGTATGATTTCGCTATTCCTGACACCTTTCCTGGAAACCGTGGCGTAGAAGAGAAAAGAAGTATACCAAGACGGTCGCGGCACGGATAAAAGAACGACGTGCTCGATTTTGCCGTTCCGAGGAACGCCCGGACGGCTAGCGAAGGTTACGAAAATGTCATCGGTCTCGAAACACCCAGACACGATATACGACGATTCTTTATTTATGAGACAAGAACACGATATATCGTCACAGTTGCAGCCAATCGAAACAGAGAGACGTTCGCACGATTTTTCCTTCTCTGTCTCTACTTTTTAATTCACCCTGTGAAGTCAAGATGGAGCACGAAACTAACCTCACCATGAAGGTAGCCGACAAACGACCACGACCTACGACAGGGTTCACTGTACGACGTTCCGCCGAGGCTTCCAAACAAATTCGCTTTTCGAAGTTAGATTGGTTTAATTGCACCATTACTTGATACCGCGTTTCTCGCGGCACGCTCACGCCCGTGCCAATGAACTGTCAGTGGTGCTATACACGACAGATTCCGGTAACGAGGAATGCGAAATAACGTACTGTGCGAATTCAACTTACGTAAACGTAACACTCGTACGCTTAGAAATGTATCTCTGACATGTAGGTAGTAACATTTTGACGTTTATTCAAATGAAACTGTCGATAAAAGAAAGAAAAATATTCTACATTCACCAACCGTATATAAATTACACTTTGGAAAGAGTTATTTTTACACATATATATATATATATATCGGTTATACGAGTACAACGAATATCTTTGTTGACGTACACGCCAGTCATACGATTCCAAGGCCTTCGTGTTAAACCCCTGGCTACAATCACGATTTATCGAGTCACGGCTCTTCAAGTTTACTTTACAACTATAAAATTTATCGTCCGCCGATAAATCGTTATCGATATTTCGAGCCTAAGTTATACATTTAAACGATCGTATCAATGTTTCCATACGACAAGCGCGGAAAAAGGTTGGAGATCGCGAAATGAACGAATTCGCGAAAGGAAGTGGAGGTTATGTTCGCGCTTACCTTGTCGGCCGACGATCTCTGCCACGTGCTCGCTGCTAGGCACCGGCACACACTCGGTCATATTCTGGCTCTTCTTCGAACGTGCCTCCTCGAAAACGCCTGCTGGTGTCGTTTGCAAGGGATCCGGATCGTTGACCGTTCCGGTGCCGGTTCCTGTGCCGGTGCCCGGGCATCCGGGAGTACCCTCGAGGCCGAGCATCGATAATTCTAACGCCAATTGCAGGGCTCGTTGATCCTCGAGGGAAGCGGTACCACCGCCATTTGCTCCGCGGTCCATTTCGCTGAACAAACTTGTCGGCATGTCGCTCGACTAAAGTTTCGCGTTATGTCGTACACCGGCAAAGTCAAAATGTACGCGTATACGTTCGCACACAGATACGTAAAATCACAGTTTCTTTTTATTCACCGATTCTCACTCTTATTTCCCTTTGACGATGATACGCGTCTTTCTTCACAGCCCGTATCTTTTATTTTTCTTCTGTTATATACGTTGTTCTCTCGGTCGAATTTGTCGGCTGAATCGTTACGGTTGAACCGTGTGTCGAACAGAAAGGTTTTCCTCGCGACAGAGTCTAATTTGAAACGATCGGAAAACAATGAACCACACGCGCTCGCGCGTGCACACCACACACACTGGATTATTTAGGACGAGGACTATTATACAGTGCCTGATGTTACACCAAGAAACCGGGCGGTCTACTGCTCCTCTGTGGTGCGCGGTCACGAGGAGATGTATTTAGGAAAAACAACGATGCACCGTACAAAAATAAAATCGTCGACTCGCCGGTGATCGCTACTTCTGTCTTCTTCCTTTTTCGTCCGGTCCTCTGCGGTCCGCGCGCCTGTGTGTGTACTGAGGAACGCACGCCGTGAGTGTTGTTCGTACACTGGAAACGTGTGGGCTACTATATGGTCGCCCGTAATCTCGTGTCCACCACGAATCGCACGTCCTTTTCTCGTTCGATCAGTCTCTCACTCGCGCGCGCTTTCTTTCACCGCGTGCAAAGAGCCGTGCTGCTACGAAAATGGCCTTCTCGATATTCGCACTGTGGTCGGAACTTGTAGTTCGTAGAACTTCGTGTTTATCTTTTTTTCTTCTTCTACGAGCACGACTTGCAACCGTCAAAATCGTCACTCGTCGCCGTAGCTCGTGTATTTCTTTTTTTTCTCTGTTCGCGTATCTTTTTTACACGATACAATTTTTCGTTCGTTCGTCCTCTCTTCTCTGCGTGTTTCTCTCCGTTTCGTTCGCTCTCGCTCTCTCCCTTCGACGGGACGACGTAACGTAACGTAACGTAACGGCGCGTGTATCACGTTTGGGAGCCTCGTCAGCACTGAAAACGGAGGCAAGGGGCGCCGCGCTCTCTCTTTCGTTCCTTCTTTCTCTTTATCTCACACGCTCGCGCTCTCTCTCTCTCTCTCTCTCCCCCTCACCGCGATCTTTCCTTTCGAAGGCAGGCGCGTGCAACTACCCTCTCGCTCGTGTTACCACTGCGACTGACTGCGACGTACTGCGACTGCGGGTGCTAAAGCCGGCGCGCCGCCATGTGCCGGACGCCGGCTATGCGCCGCGCTCATTGGTCGGCCGGGTCACGTGGCACCGTACCACCCCTCCCCACCACTGGCCGGCCAACCGGCGCACCAAGTACGAGCGCACCTACCGGCCGAGAGCGGCGCACTTCGTTGGTCTCCGGATACGGGCGCGTGCACTCATCCCTACCGGCTTGCAACCCCCTCCGTGTTACCGCTCGCGCTCTCTCACCTCTTCGCCAAGTTTCCCTATGGATCCGCGCGCTAGAACGCCGGCTGCACCACCGATTTTCCACGGCGGTGATTGCGAGCCCCGGGCTGCCTGGGATCCTAGCTCCATCTCTTCGCGATAACACGAGATACCTCGATCGGAGGGATGCACTTTCATTCGCCGTCGATGTTGTTTCGACTAATTTAATTACTCACCGTCAATATCCCTACCTTCGACTTTATTTCCTTGCAATTTTAATTAACTACCATACCATACTTCTTTTTCTTCTACGAAAATATATACCTACCCTTTTTTCTACTTTCCTATATCTCTCGTTTACTATTGCAACATTGAAAATTGTTCTTCTTTCTCTCCTGTTGGAAATTTTCATATTTTTCCAAAGAAGTTCGATAAAAGTGAACGGGATAGAAGTCTCCGTTTCTGTTTCAACTGTATCCCTAGTGACTTGTTTTACATGTTCACCGATGGCGATGCCGCGTTTCCCCGTGAATGCTAGTTGCACGCGTGGTATCGTTCGCGGTGAGCCTCGCGATGCAACACCCTTTTGCTTTCCGCAGTCCCGTCAACGACCTCTGGCTTGCATATAGGGTGCCTAGGCAAACGCATTCGTCGGTACTTTTTCGTGGCGCGCGAGCGTATAGTCACTGCGGCGCATCGGCGAAGGGAAATGCAACAGGAAGGAAATTTACGACTCTCGAGAAATAATAGCAAGGTATCGTTCGAGTCGTAAACCGTAGTTGGATCGTTTGAGACTCCTATCACGCCGTAAATTAGATACGACGTCGAGGAGTATTTCAAAGGAAATCTCGGGCTGCTTCCACGGTATCGATACAACTGTTCAGACATCTTTTCCCATTCGGGGACAACGATTTTGTACGGTTTAATTACTCCCTCATCCTCTCCAGACGATTTTACAATCCCATTACCTGTCTCGACAATTTTCCCCCTTCTTATCGATGCCCATTGCACGGTTTCAAATCTGCGCGACAAAAGTAAATACAAACGATCGATCAATTTTAACGTGTACAATATTACAAGTGTTTATTCCTCCCGTTTTTTTTTTTTTATTTAATTAAAACATTTCGATCGTTAACCCCCTGTAACGCCTATTGTCTCGTTTCATTTATTCATTGTTGCACTGTTACATTATTACCAACCAATGTTTTTTATAATAATTACATTTTTTAAATCATTTTTAATCTATAATGAGACTTGGAAGTTGCGTATCCATTTCTCTACAGTTTATAGTCTCGTTTTATTTATTTAATTTTATACTATTGCACTATATTTTTATGATAATTACAGTTCTTATTTTTCACATTTACTCTTGCTTCTTCCGGCAAACTGTAAAAAAAAGAACGATCCGAAATTTATCTCCTCCTGAGCGAAGAAAAATCAGATTACAGAGGGTTGATGTGTTTTTCAGACATTTCAATCAGATAAAACTGAAGACGTGATAAATATACACGTACTATCGCGAACGGAATGAGAGAAAAATAGAATTCTTATTACGATCGATATTCCACGAGTATCGCGAAACAAGTTTCCCTCGCAGAAATGTCCCGACACGCTGGATTCGTGCACGGTGCACGCCGCTCTATACCCGGAGCATTACACCGTAGAATGGTTAACTTTCCGTAATCGAGGTATCAAGAATATCTTCACTCTGAATCGGTTAAGCCAGGTTAAGTTCCTCCGATCTATCGTCCTTGAACTCCGTCTCCGATGATTCCACGGACTCCCGCGGAATGTGCACGAGGTAGGTATTCCTCGATCGTGGATCAACGTCGTGGTAAATGTTGCAATTTTCTCTCTTCGTTCGCAATTTATAATTAACATAAGCGTAAATCTTACTTACACGAGAAAAAAAAAGAAGAAGCAGAAGAGGAAAAAGAAAGAGACAAGATGGTAGAAGGCGAAAGAGCGAGAAAGAGGAAAAAACATGAAAGAAGAGGATCGATCGTTAATCCTCGCAGAAAAACCCATTAAAATTCCATTCCCAAGCACAATGCAAAAAACCATGGTCATTACGCGTGTTGAAGAGCACACCTTAATAAAAAGAACAACCGTCTCGGTTCGCTTTAAAGGTGCGCTGCGATAAATTTTTAAAAGGAACCAGTTCGGTCCGTGTAATATAAAAGTGAACGATACAAGAACGTCCCAGCCTTCTTTCTTCTAATTGTCGAAAGTGGGCCTTCGATACTGGCAGACGACGTGTGTAATTGCTTCACCGATACCTACGCCGGTAACCTCTTAATCCACCCGAAATCACGACTGCCGTCGTGGCAGCTGCCACCTGCGCGACCCAAAACCCAAGTATTTGCCAACAAAACGAGAACCAGGTGGTAAAAGGTGGGGGGAGGGATTCAGTCTAAACCGATTTCTAAATGCACCCCGCTCGGACCTTGAACCACGAGGTGCAACCGTGTTCCATTGTTCTCTGCCGACGACCCTTCGTCCTCTCTCTCTCTCTCTCTCTCTCCTCTCCTCTCCCCAACAACAGGCCGATTGCTCGATTTTTAGTCGGACCTCCTCTACACGCATACACGCGAGAAGATCGGGACCGTGTCCTCCATCTCTTGGCCGAGGACAGCCGACGACGAGGACGCTCCAGAATAATTCCAGAATATCAGAAACTTTTATTACGTGCTTGCCCCGCTATCCGAGATACCGATATAAAATATTAACGTTTATGGAGAATCTCGGACGAAAATTTGCCCGTCCTTTTAACGTCCCGTTGTCGTAAAGTTCATTCACCGTTCACGGTTACCACTCGAAATGGGGAAAAAGGCGAATGCTCGGTGTTTCGGTGATTTTTCGAATATTTCCACGAGTTATCCGATTTTATTTTATTCGTTGCGATAGAGATGGTTTTAATTTAATCTTCATCTGCGTGTGCGTGGGTCTTGTAGGACGTTGAAAAAGAAATGTAAGGTTTAAAGGGAAATATAGGAGGAAGAGGTTCGCTACGTTTTATTCTAAGTTTTTCATTACTACGATAAAGTAGCCGAGTTACGTCGACGCAGGAAATAACCACAAATCTAGAAATATTGTATGGAAATGTAAAAAAACGTAGTTCAAGACTACGCGGTAAAACGTACACCGGAGGTAAAAAGAACTTTCGAGGCATTAGCGTTTCTTCATTTTTTTCTTTACTCTTTCCAAGTTTCTACTTCTCTTTGTTACAACAGAAACCGCACGCCGCGCAAGGAGGCAGTCGTAGATAACGGATAGCCTAGTTTTACGAATTATGTAGTCCTTTGCATATCCATTATGCACTAATCTAACCTAATAAACGCACGAGGTATTAAATCGAGCTCACCGTATCGTACATTACACGTTTCAACTGCGTATCATGCAGAACGAATTGCAAATTACCACTTTGTTCACCTTTTTTCTTTTTCGACAAGCTGCACTGGCTTTCCACACACTTTTCTCTCCGCGGTTGTAGATCGAACGACAGGTGCCGGTAAGGACTTTGTCCAACCGAAACCTCCTTTTCCTAGGTATATTTACCTAGCAGGTACGTGGAAAATTTG